TCTTGTAGGACACTCTTGTGGGTCACTCACTCTTGTGGGACACTCTTGTGGGGCACTCTTGCTGGACACTCTCGTAGGACACTCTTGTGGGACGGTCTTGTAGGACACTCTTGTGGGACACTCTTGTAGGACACTCTTACAGGACACTCTTGCGGGTCACTCTTGTAGGAAACTCGTGTGGGACACTCTTACGGGACACTCTTGTGGGACACTGTTGTGGGACACTCTTGTAAGACACTCTTGTGGGACACTCTTGTAGGGCACTCTTGTGGGACACTCTTGTGGGACACTCTTATAGGACACTATTGTTGGACACTCTTACGGGACACTCTTGTGGGTCACTCTTACGGGCCACTCTTGTAGCAACAGAATGGCTCAATTGTGGTATCAATGAACGGTGCGCCATACACTACAGAAGCAAACATATCACATGATACCGCCAATCATCCCGCTCACTAGCGACGCGCCGCATTTACACCAGCGTGTTTCGCGCTCCCCAGTGGCACGGCGCCACGCAACCGCACTTCCCACCCAGGCCGCGCAATGGCGCTGCGACATCACGAACGTATTTTCGCCACAGGGTGTGTCCACACACTAGAAGCAAACATATCACATGATACCACCAATCATCTCACTCACCAGCGACACGCCGCGTTTACACCAGCATGTTTCACGCTTCCCGGTGGCACAGCGCCGCACAAACACACTTCCGACCAAGGTCGCGCAAATCCCAATGGCACCGCGGCGTCGCGAACGTAATTTCGCCGCACGGTCTGTCCACGCACTAGAAGCAAACGTATCACATGATATTACCAATCGTCCCGCTCACCAGCGACTTGCCGCGTTTACGCCAGCATGTTTCGCGCTCCCCAGTGGTACGGAGCCACGCAAACGCGCTTCCCACCAAGGCCGCGCAACTCCCAATGGCGCTGCGACTTCACGAACGTAATTTCGCCTCACGTTCTGTCCACACACTAGAAGGAAACATATCACACGATACCGCCAATCATCCCCCTCACCAGCGACACGCCGCGTTTACACCAGCATGTTTCGCGCTCCCCAGTGGTACGGCGCCACGCAAACGCACTTCCCACCAAGGCCATGCAAATGCCAATGGCACTGCGACATCGCGAACGTAATTTCGCCGCGCGGTCTGCCCATACACTACAATGCGTTTCGTACGAGACGTCCTCCAAAAGTCATGCGTACAGTCTCCAAAACGAGCGTTTCGTACGAGACTTCCTCCAAAAGTCACGCTTCGAGTCTGCAAGACGAGCGTTTCGTCGAGACTTCTCCAAAAGTCACGCGTCAAGTCTCCAAAACAAGCGTTTCGCGCGAGACTTCCTCCAAAAGTCAAGCGGAAACACCCATCGGAGCACACACATCACGCAGCCTTGCCAAGCAGTTTCGCGATTCCAGCCCCTCCAAACAACTCCCGCTCACACGCCAATCCCAATGTCACAGCTCTACCGCAACTCACAACCTCACGATTCCCTGCGCCTGCGCCTGCCACGAATCTTTCCGCGTCCACACGTCTAACGCGCGCAAAGTACTGCGCCTGCCACGAAATGTCACCTCCGTCACACGTCGCAACCTCACGATTCCCTGCGCCTGCCACGAAAATTGCACTTCCACATCTCAAAACCCGCACAAAGTACTGCGCCTGCCACGAAAAGTGACAATATAAATGTCATGTGAGCTTCAACGAAATTTGCACCACACCACACGTTTGGAATGATTTCGACCCGTCCTGAGCACACTCCCATCCACCAAAATCGCCATTTCAGCTGAGACTTGTCACGAAAACAGAGCTTCGACGCAACACCTTAAAGCGCAAACCCCAATGGCGCGGCCACATCCAACACCCCAAAAACACAACTCTCCAAACGCTAATCCCAATGGAACTGTGCAGAAAACTGCGGATCTCATAAAACGCTGCGCCTGCGCAGTGAAATCATCCTCCACACTTCAACATCTTGCATTTCCACGCGTTTCCACGCTATTTCACACGAATCTGACACGTCACGTTTCCATCCGAAACGCTCTCCAAAAGCTTCCCCCAATGGCATACTGCGAACGGTTGCAGACGGTTGCGGACGGTTCCGAACGCTGAGACAACGCGTCGCGAACAAGGCTCTACCCCCAGACCCCCAGAGTTAAACGAGAACCCTTCGCTACGCATTCGGGAAAAAAACAACAATGACTATATTGCGAACTATGTTGCACATAGATCACAGTACAGCTGCGTGACATAACTAACTTGCATCATAGAGTCGACCTGCAGCCCTTTTGACTATCAAGAAAAGATGCGCATATATATATATATATCATCAATGCGGAATTCGCTCGCCCGCATCTTGACACGTAAGGCAGTTGATCTCAGATCTTGAGTTCTGGGCAGGTTTGAAAGTAGAGACGGCCGTTTCAAAGCCTGTCATAAGGGGGAGAGCACTTGCCATGCCCGTGCCATGTCTAACACCACAAAACCCGAGCAGGCGCCATGAAAAATGGTGCCGCCCTTCAAAACCATTCTGAATAGCTGCGTTTTTCACACACTCCTTGATTACGCGCCACTGACAGTTTTTTTGCTAACTTGCCCTGGTTGTATGGTTTTTGCTGAGGGTTGGTTTTCGAACAAATCCTTGCTCTGTCAAGGCTCAAGAGCGAAAAGCACATGCAGCAACCCCCTTGTTTGCCTAGACCTAGACTTCTTTCGGTTACGTGGTAGTCTCTTTTTCAGCAGCAGCGGAGCAGTGATCCTGGAAGAAGCACGTGAGTTCCTGAACCTCGATAATCTTTGGACGTAGTGGACTGGACCGACGACTGGGGAGAGCCTGATATGGACCTTGTTTTTTTCCACACCCTTCCCCCCACCCCATCTGAATAAAAGGGTCTTTCGATGACAGCTTCTACCAAGCCGTTATGCTTGTGATGAGGATGCTTCTGTCTCGCGGAACCTCGGGTCTCGGGGGTTGCAAGGTATCTTCAGAACTTCAGGCTTCTTGTCCCTTCCAAACATTGCATTTCTATTCAGCTCATGTTTCTTGTTAGGCCTTCCCTCAAAGTGGTCTTCAGGACAAAATATTTTTTGTGTCAGACTCACGAAACTAGTTATATAGCTGAGGCTGAAGATTTGGCTTGCATCAACTTGACAATTGATGCCATAGATGCGCTGAGAATATTTTCGCAGGTGAGGTTTGCGGGGAGTGACCGCCTCGAAAACGAGTTGTTGACAACACACTTATTTTATAAACCTTTTGTTCAGGAGCAGAACTTGCCAATTCAGTCTAGATTGGGAGCGGGCCTTGTCGTTTCAACAATACCTAGTGAAAGTAAAAAGAATCCTAGATGGCTGGATGGAATTGATGGAAAACATATGTATATATACATATACATATACATATATACTATGGTCTACAGCGGTATAGATGTAACCGATGTGAAACAAGGAGACTTGTTGAATCATATTCGGTTGCGGCCTTGTTGAAGCAAACTCGCATTCTCTGGATTTTTTCCCCTTGAAGAAATAGAGGTTTTGGCGCCCTCATCGCTTGAGCTGCTTCAGTGGCATGCAGAGCGGCTACCCCAGATCTTATTCAGTACCCGGATATGTGTCAGTTGCTGTTGTGTGAAGGCAAGATGGTGCAAAGGAGGCAGCGGCGGTTCATGGCGGTGCATGAATTTAGGCATTATTTAAGGCATGTGTTAATTTTTATCTATCCAATTCCCTCCCTTGCACCTTTAGACTGCAAGGCGCCAGAACTTGACGAGCGTGTTTCAATCTTGGAGTGCCTTAACTGCAACAAGTCCGTTTTTCTGTGCCACAAAATTCTTGCTCAAAGGAAGAAACAAGGCCAACCAAACGAAGGTCTTTGCGGATGAAAGGCTGAACACAAATCGAAGTCCTCAAAGCAAAACCAAAGGCACCCCATGAACATTTGTCACATGTGCAGAGGACGAACATTTTTGGTATTTCAATACATAGAGGAGATCAACATTTTGAGTCATGCTGTTTGGCTTGAAACACTTCATGCACTGGAAGATGCTGGACATGCACATATTTGCTTGTCGACGCACACTGCACACACACACACACAAGCCATGAGCTTCTTGTTTGGTATGTGCCTCCATTGGCCTGACGGAAAGGACACACCCACCTTGAACAAGCACGCTTTTGACTTGAGCTTGTCGCCAGAGGTTTGTCGAGTCTGAGATTGTTTTTGCCCCTTGGCTGAGATTGCCATATCCGATATCGTCCAACTGTATGACGCTGCCTTGCCAAGGCCGAATTTTTGAGGTTTATGGCATGAGCCTTGGCATTTGCTGGCTCACAAGCCTTGGTTCGTGTGCTGTCCTCACTTGGCCTATGACTGAGTTTCTCATGGGCGAGCTTACAACTCGAAGGGACTTTAGGCAAGGCAAAAGAGACCACAGCTCCCTGGGAGCAATGTGAACTCCTTAAGTGACAAGAAACTATTAGGAACAAGAAGCTACTAGGGGCTCCTGGCCATACTACTAGGAGCAAGGACGCTACTAGGGGCTCCTGGCATCGCTACTAGGAGCATTCTTACTAGTAGCAAGAAGCTATTAGGAACAAGAAACTACCACAGCTCCCTGGGAGCAATGTGTAGCTTCTTGTTCCTAGTAGCGATGCCAGGAGCCCCTAATAGCGTCCTTGTTCCTAGTAGTACGGCCAGGAGCCCCTAGTAGCGTCCTTGTTCCTAGTAGTACGGCCAGGAGCCCCTAGTAGCGTCCTTGTTCCTAGTTATATATATATATATTGAGTGCTGTTTTCGGCTGCTTCATTTTGCACTCAAATCATCGCCTTGCAGGTTCTGTCGGAGCATTTCACTGACAGCTCGTCTAGATCTTTTCCTGCGCACAGTGCCATGGTTGCATTTTGGGTTTGTTATGGACCCTATTTCTTTGGACACCATCACTTCCATTCATGCATTTGTTCAGGTCATCTCCCACTGCCAAATCGGCAGTAGGTATGCTCCGCCAGAACCTTCTCCACTGGCAATCAGTACGCTCCTTAGTGTCTTGATCGTTTTTGGCAGCTTGTGTGCTGCCATGAGGATAGGGAACTAGTGGAATCAAGCTAAACAAGTGAATTCAAGATATCTTCTCAAACGCAGCCTTTCAGTACTTCCCTGTTCCTTCTTATTTTCTCGCAGTTTTCCAGATCCACCAGTGCCGATGGGTCGAGCTATATATTGGTAATCAGTTTCGTTGCCTTTTGTTGGACCATGCGTTTGCGAGCGTTTTGAGCTACCTAGTTGGGTGCCGCAGCTGGGTGGAGTGGGCGTGGGGGTTAAGCCTCTCCTGCAAAGCAATCTGAAATTGTGCAGTGTTGAATTTTTGTTGGATGCTTTCCATGGCCTTTGCTTTTTGGCGGGCGAATACTTTTTCCACTGCTGATTTCGGTGCAATGACTCAGTTGGCCCAAAGAAAGGGGGGTTCCCCCGGGAACTTCACATGTTGACACCGGGTCATGAGTGCCTTTGCTTTGGGTCAATTGCTTCGGTGTCTGATGTGGGGTGGGTGCGGCACCTGCGGGGTGGGTCAAAGTGGTGATGCTTGCAATACCTCAAACAGGCGTTGTGGTCGCTGTGAAAAAGAAACAAAGCCCGCCACTGACCTAGCCCGACATTTTTGTCCTCGTCAGAATGCTCTGTTGTCTATATACGGTGCAAACGCACCAACTCTTTTTTCATGGCGAAACTTATGGTTTTGAGCGCCTTCAAATGATTCTTTTGCACATGTCAAGAATGTTCACAGCAGAATGCCAAGCAGTTAGCATCCATCCAACACATAAGCCTCATCATCGGGAAGCTTTGCCCACATTCAACATGCGCAAGCATAATGAAAGCATGTTCGCCGCAAGTTGATGGCTGAGACCACAAAAAACCATTAGTGCCTTCAACCTTCTGCCCCGTGGCCCTGCGAGCACACGCTGTGCTATGCATGATAATCATACAACTGCCGATGCATCCTGCAGGGAACCTCCCGTCCTGACCATCAGGTGATACACACACACACACACTCTCTTTCACTGAGAAGAGAGTATATTTGGACATTACGATCTGCTTTTTGCGCAAAGAGGCCTATATAAGCAGTATGTTCTAAAAAGATTTCAGGTTGGTTCCAAAAAGGTCCAAAGGTTCAAAATCATTCGGTCAAGCTCAGATTCACGAGTGTAAAACCCAGTCTCAAGTGGAGAGATCGATGAAATCTCTGGAGATGTTTCGAGAGTAGTGAGATCAGAAAAATTGCGACATGTTTTCTCAAAAGGGTAATTCAGTTGAACTTCATGTTTCCAACAATTTGTTGGGTGGTTTGGTTTTCGCTACAGTGATGAGTGCATTGAAGGTTTCAAGGTTTCTTCTCCAAGTTTCGCTGTACCGGTGGCGGAAAACATTAAAATGTTTCAGAGGCACCGCAGCCTGTTTTCCCCGGAGGTGATCGAGGCGTTTATTTCCACCTTTCCACCTCATAGCCAATACACTGGCGGTCTCAAGGACTTATATAGTCTCTAAGGCTCCAAGGACCAAAGTTACCCGCACGTGCTCGACGTCATGGTGTTTTATTCAATTTTGTTTGGTTGTGCCAGTGTAAAGGCCTGAGCCTAACACATCGTGAACACGTCCTTTTACAATCCGTGACCCCACAGAGCAACGTTTGAACATACCACGATTCTTGCAAATGCGAACATGTGGTTGGACACGGACTGGTCGATTTGCCCGCGATCGATCAGGTTTCCCTAAGTGCATTGTCAGAAACTAGTGTTTTTTTCCCCGCTAGAGAGCCCCTCACGGTTCTGTTTCTTTTTTTCTATTTTTGGCGATGCGACAGCTGATGGACCTGCTCTCTTTATGTGTGTTCATCATTGCTGCCTTGATAGAACAAGAAGCGAGGTTTCTGTTTCAATTTGTTTGCTTTAAACGCGCCCACCGTGAGGTGAGAAAGAGAGAGCGGAGAAAGCAAAGCCCAGGAGCTCTGGTTGTCTCCCTGAGACTGTGACAAGCTCAAAGATACTAAAATTTGAAGAATTTCCTTTCAACTGCTTTGCAAGGGTACCCATCACGAGGTCATGGAAGAAATCCCGCCAGAAATCCCAGGCAAGCCTACCGGGACATGACAAGTGCCAGATCTTGAGGGCTTTCCTTCCAAACTTTGCGTGCAGGCTTGCCTGAGCTTCAGCCGGAGCCAAAGGAGGCGTACATTGAAACTGGCAGCTTTCAACATGCAAAGAAGAAAAAAGAGACGAACAGAGGAAGGCAAAGCTCCTTTCAAGCGGGTTTCAAGCGGGCCATAACCTTCCTTTTTTTTCTCACATGTTTGCACCGACAGCAAAGCTTCGGGGTCTTCAGCCATATAGTAAAAACTTAGGAGCAGATCGGAGCAGGTCCCGGAGTGGAGCGGGTTCCGGAGCAAGTTCTGGAGCAAGTTGCGGAGCAGGTTCCGGAGCAAGTTTGGGAGGACGTTTTGAAGCAGGTTCCGGAGCAGGTTCCGGGTCAGTTTGCGGAGCGGGTTCTGGAGAAGGTCCTGGAGCTTTTGGGACAGGCTTTGGAGGAAGCTTTTGCAGGAGTGCTGATGTTGTCAGCGCATAATGCCGACGTGTCATCATGCTGGAATGTTGTCATGCTGACATGCTGTCAGCCTGTGATGCTTGCATTGTGTGCACCGTCACGTCGACATTCTGTCACTGTCACGCTCACTTGCAAGCGTGCTGTATGTTGGCATACTGTGTTTGCTGCCACGCCGACATGTTGTCAGGCTGACATGCTGAGATGTTGTCACGTATATAAATGTGCTGACACTGTGTCATGTTGACCAACCGCTCACATGTTGTCACGCTGGCATGTCATACTAACAGGCGAGCGCGTTGTCACGCTCAGATGGTGACGTTGAGCCACTTTGTCGTGCTGACATGTTGGCAAGCTCCAGTCCAGTGCAAGCTCCGAAGCAGGTTCCATTGTTATTGTTTGTTGCGGCGTTGTCAGGCTTGCATGTGTATAGGCCCATGTGCTACGTTGCAAGCGTGATGTCGTGCTGACGCGCGGTTTCTGCTCACGTGCTCACATGCTGAGGTGTTGTCAGCCCGCATGCTGACATGCTGTCGTGCGGACGTGTGGACATGTTATATAACATGTTGTCACGCTAAACAGATTGCATGGTGTCGTGCTGACATGTTACTGTTGTCAGGCTGTGATCCAGTGGGGTCATGTTGTCGTGCTCACATGCTGGTAGGCTCCAGAGCAAGCTCAGCTCCTGAGGAAGTGTTCTGGTTCTTGTTTATTGCGGCATGTGCTATGCCGACATATGTTTTGCGTGGCACGTTGAAGAGGTTCACATGATTCAAAGCAGCCTGGTCTGGCAATTGTTCAACACTGTGTTGGGGAAATTGCGATGTTGCCGTTGCCCAGTCGGCGGGTTCATGCCCAGCTGTCGTCGGGTGTTTTCTTTGCAGTTTGTTTTCCATATCGAACCACTTCACATCAAAAGATCGGCAACAGGAAAAGCCTGAACATTGGATTGGCTATGATGGTGATGCTTCTAGTGCACCTCGAAGGCGCCTGGGAAAAACAGGTAAAGACAGTCCAAGAGGGGAAGACTATGCAAAAGTCAACCTGTGCTGTACCTGTTGCAATCTTAAATGTATTACTGTGTCCAGTTTTGTTCAGTCTATTCATTTTCGAGTGGAAGATGTGCAGCTAGCTGTACATGTTGTATACAGAGTTTTTCTAGTGATTCTAGTCAAGAACTAGAGCAGTTGAAACCACAATTTTAGCGCATTAACTTTGAGGCTTGCATTTTTAATTGAGCGTATCATATTCCATACTGTTTGAAAGACATGGAGGCAAGGCATTTTGGTTGACACACCAGGTGGCCGGAGGGCTACGATCAAGAAGTGGCAGACTGGTGAATTCACACAAGTCTCACTGTGTTGCTTTTGTGTGGCATGCCTGTCGCACTCCTGTCTCACATTCCATGTTTCACGCATTTCGCAACCAGCAGACGGAGGCATCACATGCGGTGCTAGGAGTGAAACTTGCACTCAGTCAGATTTGCAGTGATTGATTGTTGCCAACTGGTGCAGTTTTTGTGTCTAGACTCTAATTACTTTGGACAGGGCAAGTGCCAGCGCTGGTTGGAGCTCGAATGAAGAAAAGGAACCTGAAGTTGTTGACACATTTCCATGGTTGTGAAAATGTAGCGAGTCTTCACAGAATGTGGGTACAAAGTCGATGATCACGCCAGGGGCGAGTGGATGAGGGTGGATTGCTGGGTGTCCGACAGAAGCAAGAGAAAGGCTGGAAAGCAAGATTTCCTGAAGCCCCTAGTAGCGTCCTTGCTCCTAGTAGCGATGCCAGGAGCCCCTAGTAGCGTCCTTGCTCCTACCCCCTCTTGTTGGCCGGTCACTTGTTGGCCTCCAGGACTCCAGGCCCCAATGCCCTGAATAAATTCAGGGTTGCGGCTAACGGTGCCACCCTTCATTATTGCAGAATTTCGGCTCAGTGCAGGAGCTGCGCAAATTTCGTGCCTGCTTTGATTAGTTTGTAGCCCAAGCTGCGGCTTGATGGCAACGTGACAGCAGGGTGGATGATCCGCAAATGACAGGATCGCTACTTGCACTTGGAGTGCTCAATGTGTCCTCAACAGGCCGGTTTTATTCTTTTTTTTAAGGCGGGGGTAGGCCGAGAAGAGGAGGTAGCTAGGAGTAGCTAGGAAGCTAGTAGAAGCTATATAGGTAGCTAGTAGCTAACAAGTAGCTACAAGCATGGGCGCAGGATAGCTCACGCTTTTTCAAGGAAGCTCCCACCACCACCGCCCTAAAGGCGGCGGCGGGGGGAGCTTCCTTGAAGAAGCGCTCGCACTATTCATTTGGTTCCTAGTCTTTTAGGGAAAATTGAGTTTCAATAGTCCAATCCCTTTTTGTGACATTTGTGGCTTCAGGTTGTTGCTGCGGAGTCGGGAGACACAGCAGTTTTGAGACAGCATTTTGCAGATTTGTTGCAAGTAGATTTACAGTACAGCTTGCTCCTTCTCAGGTTTGGACTGAAAACTTTTGGTTCGACAAGAAGGAGAGAGAACTCTTTATTCGCGCAAGGTGCTCAGAGGCTTTACTAGGCTTTGCACATGTGGAAGAGCATCGCATAGAAACTTTCCCTAGGAACCAAATCATTAGTGCGAGCTTCCTTGAAGAAGCGTGAGCTATCCTGCGTCCTAGCCAGGAGCTTCCTATTGCTAGTACCTCCTTACTTGATTCAGTAGGCGCCTACTTAAGTGTCTTAATTACAGTAGGTACGGAAGCAGGGCCACGGTCAAAAAGAAAACTTTGGTCCTGAGGACTTACCCATTGACTTTGTCAATGGAAAGGCCGAGGGTCTAAGGACCGCAGACAAGCACCAAATCTGTGAGCCTGCAGGGTGAAGTGAGAGAGCTGGATGTCATTTCTTTTTTTGGCTTGGAGCACTTGATTCATGCAAAGTCTAATGTTGGAGCTGATTTTTATTCGGACTGTGATGACCATTTCTCATGCTCATTTTCTTGGGTATTGCCTAGCATTATTTGAAAGAGAGGATACATATATATATATATATATCGATGAAACTGCTTTTGACTTGCTAGGACTGATGCATTCCGAAGAAGGCCAGGCTAAGTTTGGGTTCTCAGTCCTTGTCTTGACGTGCCCGAATGCTGTGTGAGGCTCCAAAATGCGGAGTGTCCGTTCGGATTGGTGCTGTGCCCTGATTCAATGCTTTGCATTGGAAGTCCTTTGTGTCGTTTTCATATCCTTGTGGAGGCCAATGGATGTCACTTGGCCTCGTGTGCCAGAAGATGTTGCAATGCTAGTGGAACCACTGACGTTTCTGAAATTCTTGGCGGTGGCCTGGTCCTGAGATCCGCAGTGTGAAGCAGTTTCTCTGTGTACCTTTTGCATGTTTTTCATATCGTTTTTTAGAACCCGCCCCTACTTAATTAAGTAGGCTAAGTAGGCGTCTACTTAAGTAAGGAACAACTTGTTCGCTCCTAACTACTAAAGCTTCTAGTAACTGGATGCAAGATAGCTCACGCTTCCTTGAAGAAGCGCTTGCACTAATGATGTGGTTCGTAGGTTTCCCTAAACTCTCCACTATGGACCACTTTAGGCACACAGAGTGACAATCTGGAAGTGCCCTCTGGGTTCGGAGGATTTAGCTGGCTGAGCCGCTGAGGTCTACGGCTATTTGCCGCTTCTGCCTGTTCTGGGCTTTGATACATTTCTTTAATATACTGATTTTGTCATATTTTGTTTTGTATACAAATCGATTACAAATCTGATTCATTTGGCTTCTCCAGCTGGCTCCACCAGAGTTTCAAGACTTGCATGGGGGGTTGTTCGATGTCTACAGTAAAGTTTGGAGTCTTTGGTTCTATTTATATATAAATTATATATATATATAGATTTATGATTGATTTACTCCTGTAAACAAATAATTCATTAAATCAAATCGAATGGAACATTCTTTCCTGCCATGGAGACTGCCTTGGCCTTGGCGACGACAGCTCCCCAAGTCCATGCGCATGAAGTGGATTTCATTTTCACTATGGCTGTGTGCACTATGCTGCTGTAGCAGTTGGGGCATGTCGATGCCAATCCTTGGATCCCGAGTCATGCTGAATGCCAAAGGGTATCCTTGGCATTTCAAAAGAAGAGCTGTCGCAATTGTTTCACAATTTGAGATTGCTTGAATCTGTTCAGTTCTTGGTTGCTCTGATTCTCGATACCTTTCAAGCGCGCACCGTTGCAAGTTTGTCAGCTAGTTTCAAACTTCTGTTTTCGTCATTCTTTTTTCTTCAAGCTCTCTGCAACAGAGCTGCTGAGCTCCTGTACACGTGGGTGGGCTCAGTTCTTGTCCAGACCTCATCTAGTGTGCTTCAATCAGATTGGCGTCGAGTGTCTTTTTGAAGTTATTGTTTGGCTGTGGGCCGGGGCTTTGGTGGGTTTCTTCTTTTGGATGTTGCTTGTTTGGGCGGATTAATTGGTGTAGTCATGTTGTGCTATATCTCCTAGCCCTATGTTAGATGGTGCTTTTGACACGTGCTTGTGCCAGCCTGGCTGCACCTAAAGACTTCTTCGATTGTTTGGCTTCGCTCTATGAAGGTTGTCAGCGTGCGCTGTTTTTGCAAATGTGTTGCTTGCCTTCAATGTTCCGAGGGCAACTTGCCAAGTTCAAAAGCAAGCGAATCCATCCAGTCGGTTCTCCCGCCGTTAGCAGTTGTGTTCTGTTTAATGAATAGACTTCGAATGTCCCAGTCTTCTTGCATCTCCAAAAAATCATAGTTCTTCCTTTCGATATTCTTTTTGGAACGCACTCAGGTTTGGTGCTGCCAAAGAAAAAGCACCAATGATGTGCCCGTGCCTTTCGGGAAAGCTGTACAAACTATGCTGCCGTGGCTCTCACAAGGACGTGCACACAAGGGGGATGGATGCTTGAGTTTCAGCATTGGCATTCAGGATCCAAGTTCTGTGGCTTCTCCAGAGCAGCTGGCAAGAGCAAGATATTCGGCCCTTGCACTAAAGAAATATGATTTCCTCATAGTTTCTCAGATGCAAACAGTTGCGGCATGCTGACCACTATTGAATTGGAGAGTTTGCAGTTTGGCTGGCAAAGGACACTACACATCATTCGCATCCCGAGTACCAGGAGCAGTTTTGATAGTGTCGTGAGGTGGGCAACTGGTTTCCCTTCTGCAGGAGGATAGAGAGTCATGGAAGAAGACAATGGCCCGCAACAACCGTGGCGTCCGCTATGTTGGTTTGAATATCACTGGATCCGAGTCTCGCGCTGAGGCTTCGGCAATTAAGTGTTTCAAGTGCTGTCTCTAAAATATGCATGTGATGCATATAGTATAAAGTAGCACTCTTAGCATTTCTAGTCATAACAAACGAACCAATATTTGTGTACCGTAAATGTGCAAGCAAACCGTTTTTTACAATTCAATCTGGTGGCAGATCACTGACTTCTTGCAGCAGTGTGACACAGAAGAACGTCATCGTACACCCACATTGTTGTTGCTCCCAGCCAGTTCATGCAGTGACAATTTAGACCTCCTGTGTAGGCTCTACGTATTGCGTGCTGAATGGATCCTTTGATTCTTTTTTCTCACTCGATCTTCGTCAGACCTCATGAGTGGACTCTCCTACAGCAACCACCATACTTAGTTGAACGGTACTGTAAGAGCGGTGATGGATATTGTGCTGTCGCTTTGTGACAGAGAAACCTTGTGCCCACTTTGTCAGGGCACCCACGCTGTGACCATTGAAGCTGCGTCTGAACCAGAGAAGATGGATGATTTGCCAAAGGACAATTGTTTCGTTTTCTTTTGACAGCTGGTTGGCGTTTGCTTCGGAATCGATGCATTCCTTCTATTCATACCTGGATTTGTGAACTTGATCCATGAAACTCATCAGGTTCTGCTCGTTCGGGAATGTTCAATCTACCGGTACGAGGGTACCTGGCAGTATGCAAAGGCGGAGGAGTTGAAGCGCGAGGCCATTTGTGCATCTTTGACATTGGCAGGTTTTGTCAAAACGAATTGTGAGATGCGAGATGGCAAGCTTCCATGATGCATTAGATGCAATGAATGCGCAGGTTGTGCAGGGTGCTGGCTCAGCGCGGCAGCTTTCTGGTGCAAAAGTCGATGGACACTGAAAGGGCAATGATGTTGCAATGCCACTCAAGAATGCGCAAAGACCGCAGGTGGCGAAGTGTGAAGTGGTTTACACCGTCTAGCAGTGGGTCCCATTTGAATGGACACATGGAATTTAGTAACTTTAGTATCACAGTAGCGGCAACACAGCTTGGCACAGCAGACAACTGATTTGGGAAGAACAGCACGATTCAAAAAGTTGAAGTGTAACTTGCCTTTTTGGCCTGCTCTTGCTTGAATATATAAGTAGCTATGCCACTGATAGGCTTACTAGTTACTAGTAACTGGACGCAGGATAGCTCACTCTTCTTGAAGAAGCGCTCGCACTCTTCCTTTCGTTCCTAGATTTTTGGCTAAACTTAACATTTCACCTGAGGTAGCAGTTGTTCTTGTGGATTGTTTGATACATCGAGGATCCCGCCAGAGCCTGAAAGCCTGAGAATAGACAGTATAGGTCAAACGTTCATTTGGATGGGCTTGAAACAATTACTCACTCTTGCCTGAGCTCAGCAAGTTCTGTAAGGGCATTTGTGGATCTTGCTGTGGCTCGGCGTTCTTCTCAGTGTCAACGAGGCAGGGCATCCTCATGGAGCACGACTGAAGTTGACCTTCTTTGGTGTCTTTAGCAAACATAGGTCACCTGCGAGGGAACCACAGGTTTTGAAAGGTTGCTGAAGCTTTTTGGGAGATTCCAGAAGGTTCCGTTCCGTTCGGTTAGATTGAAAGTGTGTCGAAGGTTCGTGGGTTTCCCATTTTGTCCGAAGGCTTCACAAGATTTTGTGAGGTGCCCAAGGGTTGGTTTCAATTTCATCAATTTTCCAAGCAGGTTCCGGTGCATTTTGGGGTCCTAGAGCAGGTTTCAGGTTTCAGGTTTCCGCTTCCAGTTGTTGAGTTCAACAGGCAGTTGTGAAGAAGATCGTAGCAGAGCCTAGACCTGGCAGTCAGGGCCTCGAGAAACCAACCAGGCGGAATTCGAAATGAATGAAAGACAGACACTCAACATGCCAGAAGCTACTACAAGCAAGGACGCTGCTAGGGGCTTCTGGCATCGCTACTAGGAACAAGAAGCTACTAGGGGCTCCTGGAATCGCTACTAGGAGCAAGATGTAAGAGTGCCAGGAGCCTGTATGGTCGATGATTGCTTGCTTTTTGAAGGTATGATGGAGCTCCGTGGGCAAAATGGACTGCTTGAAGGTTCCTGTGTGGAGACATGTGGCATGCCGTCGAGCCATTCTGCCCACTTCCTCAGAGTTAGCTTGATGCAGAACAAGCACGTAGAGCAACTGCCTAAATCCCGATCAGATCTAAAGAGAGTTATAGCTGGTCAAGTTATAGTTCAAATTGGATATGGAAAGATCAAAGTGCAAAAAGAGAGAGAAATAGAGAGAGAGAGAGAGAGTGCTTTTCGAGTCAGCAAAGAGTTGGAGCAAAGCTCTTCCATCACTCTCAGAACTTGCACCGCCACCCTCATTAATCTGGGTGCTTAGGCCATCTCAATGGGTTGGTTCCTTCTGCCCGATCCTTACAGTGAACTGGCACGAAAGCACAGGTTTGCGAAGAAGCTAGCGTATGTAGGAGTTTGGGAGCTTTTAAGTTGGAGGCCATCGCTATCAGGTTGGAGGCCATCGCTCTTAGGTTGGAGGCTATCGCTATTAGGTTGGAGGCCATCGCTCTTCGTTTGGAGGCCATTGCTATTAGGTTTGAAGCTCTTGAAGCTCAAATGGTTAAGATAAGGTCTGTTCTTGATGCCATGAGCCGGACGAACTTGAGCCCGTTGACTCAGCGGAAACCATAGACTCGCCCCAGACAAATGGCTTGCTGAATTCGCGCTCCGTGTGAGGAAGGGATCAGATTGATTTGCGGACATTTGGAGGCTCAAATTGATCATTGCTGCATTTCTTTGTTTGCCTTTGCGATGCCCGACTTTAGAGCACCCCTTGCAAACATTTTTTCTTCATTTGTATTCTGGTGCTCATGGCATCCTAGTACTCTAGGCATATTTGAAGCTTTGGTGCAGAGAGGTGACCCGCTGGTGGCAGAACAGCGCAAGTGGGGAGCCTTTATCAAGTGCCCAGGCAGCAGAGCAGCCGCAAAGCAGAGGCAGAGCAGAGCTGAAGAGCGGACGAGTTTTCGTATCACTTATTCTTTGAGCGAGCGGGCTTGCTTTCGGCCAAGGAATTTTTGTGCCTTGGAAAGCAAAAATTGCTCAGCGCTCCAAGCTGTCTTCTGGTCCTTGGCCCTTGTCATTCGTGGTTGCAGCCAGTACTTGCAGAATTGAGATACAGGTAAGGTCAGGTTGAATGGTTTGGTGCTGGCGAGAGCAATACCTGTACCTGAATTGGTGACCTCTGCCAGGCTCAACACCTTGGATTGAGAGGACAGACCTCAGTGCCAGGGAATGTATTTCAATTGTGTCTTGGACTTTGGAGTTTGATGGATGTTGCATTCTTTAAAGTTATCAGGCTATCGTATATGTATACATTAGAGACAGAGTGTTGAGTCTGGGGCAGGCTTGGGTTTACGTCTATCATCACAGCCTACATTTGTACATTTTGGCTCAAGAGCCAGAACGGAC